CAGCAATAAGAGCAATAGTAACTTCAGTTTTAAATACTATTAAGGAAAATATTTTGAAATCCTGCCTGTACTTACCATTATTCCTATTTGTTCTAGAGCTTATGTTTAAAGTTGAATGTATGTTTTGATTGTTTTGCTGGAAACAATAAGTTTGTATTTAGTTGAGGACTGAAAGTAATTATACTAAAATGGAAATACAGGCTGATTCAAGAAGATGGGTTTATAGTGTTTTTTTTTTCTTTCTTTTCTTTCAAAAGAGAAATTAAAATGTTTGCTATTTTTTCTTGATGAAAATAAATAATCATAGTATTGATTTTAAGTTTAAAACTTTAAACACCTTGTTTTTGATTGTCCTTGCAGGCCATGATATACAATAAAATCCTCAGGCTTTCTACATCTAACTTATCCATGGGTGAGATGACCCTGGGACAGATTAACAACTTGGTCGCCATTGAAACCAATCAACTCATGTGGTTTTTGTTCCTGTGTCCTAATCTATGGGCTATGCCTGTTCAGGTAGATCAATATAAGTAGATTCTTATTTACAAAGGAAATAAAGCAAAAAGATTGCTAAGATACTTAGCTTGGTAAAGGTTATACCTTTGCATATGCAAAAGTGATTATGCCCCTTTTATAGACAAGAAAACTAAGAGTCAGAAATATTAGCATAGGTTAAGAAAGCAGAGTTTGAAATTATACTGCTTGGGTTTAAATATCTGCTCTATCCCTCATTTGCACAAGTGCTTAACTCCTTAAAATGTTAATTTCCCTAACATTAAAATGGTGATAGTAACTAACCTAATAGAGTTTTGGGAATTACCAGGATTAAATAAGTTAATACATGTACAGCATCTAGCATGGTGCCTAACATTTCACGGGACACTCGCTAATTGTTAGTTGTTGGTATTATTGGCACAATTCATGCTAGTCAGCCCTTTCATTTTGATAAGCTCTCTTATAGTATTTCTATTTTTATACTAAATCATAAACACATAGATCATATACAGTAATGCATTTATGGGGTACAATGTGCTGATTTCATATAGAATTGGGAATGCTTATGTCACACTGGTTAATATAAACCTCATCTCGTTTACTTAATTATTGTGTTAAGACATTTATAATCTATACTGATAGATCCGACATGTACCCTTGCATTATGCACCATAGGTGTGATCCCACCATTCACCCTCCCTCAATCTGGTCTCCCTCTTCCCTCCCTGCTTTAATCTATT